GAGGGAGATGGGGTGAGGGTGAGGATGAGGGAGATGGGGTGAGGATGTGGGAGATGGGGTGAGGATGAGGGAGATGGAGTGAGGGTGAGGATGAGGGAGATGGGATGAGGGCTGGTCAGTGCATTCACGAAATTCCTCATGAGGGGCATCTCTGTGTAAACTTCCTGCTCCAGCTTTCTGTTTTCCTGTGACTAATCTGCCTTTGTTCTCTCTTTCTCTCTCGTTCCCTCTCTCGCTCTCTCTCTCTGAAGCTGGAAGGATGGCCTCGCGCTGTGCGCTCTCATCCACAGACACAGGCCTGACCTCATCGACTACTCCAAGCTTAGAAAGGTCCTCCATTTCTGTGAACTGTCTCCTTTTCTGTCTGCTTCACTCGAGTAAACTGAGGCCCAATGCCTAAGCTCATCAATGGTGTCTCATCAAACATAGAGGGGTAGAGAGGGTGAGGGGTAGGGATAGAGAGGGGGAGGGGTAGAGAGGGGCAAGGGTAGAGAGGGGCGGGATAGGGACAGAGATGGAGAGGGGTAGAGATGGGGAGGGGTAGAAGGAGAAAGGGTAGAGAGGGAGAGGTGTAGAGAGGGAGTAGGGCACAGAGATCAGTGGATAGAGAGATGAAGGAAAGATAGAGAGATCATTGGATAGAGAGATGAAGGATAGATAGAGATCAGTGGATAGAGAGATGAAGGATAGATAGAGAGATCAGTGGATGGAGGGAGGATGGAGAGATCAGTGGATGGAGAGATTGAAGAATAGAGAAAGCAATGGATTGAGATGGAAGAATAGAAAAATAGAAAGATAGAGACGTCTGAATAGAGATGGGAGGATAGAGATTCAGTGGATAGAAATGAAAAGATAGAGAGATGGAAGGATAGAGAGGTTGATGGATAGAGATGAAAAGATAGAAAGATGGCGAGGATAGATAGATTGAAGGATAGGGAGATTGGTGGATGGGTAAATCATTGGATAGAGAGATGGATGAATAGAGAGATCGGTGGAAGGGAGAATCAATGGATAGAGAGATGGATTTAGAGGTAGATTGATGTATGGAGAAATGGATGGAAAGGTAGAGAGATTCCTGTTTGATCAGCAGTTTGATGGGTCTGATCCAGCTCAACACAGCACCAGGTTGGTGGGACCGAATGGCCTCCTTGTGGCCTTTGTCAGTCTTTCCATTCCTGGTTTGGTGTTGACCCTCTGGAAGATTCTAGAAGGGTTCTGTGGGCTTGAAATTCAGCACAAACCTCCCAAGACATCCCCCTCCCCCCTGGGATGGAGTGTGGGGTTGTTTGGGGGTGGTGGGGGAGTCACAATACAGGCAAGCTGTGCACAGAGAGGTACTGCTGAGGTGTTGGTAAGGCCTGGGGAGGGAGTCACATCTCTCTGATCATCCCCTTCCACACTCACACACTCTCTCTCTGTCTCCCAGGACGATCCCATCGGGAACCTAAACCAGGCCTTTGAGGTGGCTGAAAAATACCTGGATATTCCCAAAATGTTGGACGCTGAAGGTGATGCCTCTTTCCATCTCCCTCCCTCTTTCTCAATCTCCCTCTCCTTCCCCCTTTCTCTATCTCCCTCTTTCCATCTCCCTCCCCCTTTCTCCATCTCCCTCCCCCTTTCTCTATCTCCCTCTCTCCATCTCCTTCCCCCTTTCTCTATCTCCCTCTCTCCATCTCCCTCAACCATCTCCCTCTCCTTCCTTCTCTCTCTCTTTCTCCATCTCCTTCCTCCACCTCCCTGTCTCCATCTCCCTCCCTGTTTCTCTATCTCCCTCCCCCTTTCTCCATCTCTGTCTCTCCATCTCCTCCCTTCTCTCTCTCTTTCTCCATCTTCCTCCCTCTCTCTAACCCCCTCTCCATCTCACTCTCTCTCTATCTTCCTTCTCTTTCTCTCTCTCCCCATCTGTCTCCCTCTTCCCTCTCTATCTACATCTCCCTCCTTCTCTGTCTATCGCCACCACCCCCACCCCACTACCTACATCTCCCTCCTTCTCTCTCCCCCTCTCCATCTTGAACAAAAACAAAGTTGCTGGAAAAGCTCAGCAGGTCTGGCAGCATCTGTGGAGGAGCAAACAGAGTTAACATTTCGGGTCTGGTGACCCTTCCTCAGAACTCATCTCCATCTCCTTCCCCCTTTCTCCATCTCCCTCTCCCCATCTCCATCCCCCTTTCTCCATCTCCGTCTCTCCATCTCTCTCTCTCTCCCTGCGTCTGTCTCCTTCCCTCCCTCTCTATCTCCATCTCCCTCCCTCTCTCTCTTTCTGCCCCCACTCTCTCTCTATCTACATCACCCTCCTTCTGTCTGTCTCCTTAATCCTCCATCTCTCCTTCTCACCACCTCCCTTTCTCTGTCTCTCTACCTCAGCAGTGGGTTGTACAAACATTTCAATCAAGAGCAACATGTGGCCACTCAGCCCCTCAGTCTGAGAACCCCTATCCTCTCAGATCGTGGCTGGTCTGCTGAACCCCACTTTCATCTCCCTTGACACCAGTCATCGATCAGAAACCTCTCAAATTGGCCTCAACTATATCCAGTGACCCCCCACTTTTCCCCAGAGGGAGAGACTTCTGCAGGACACCACCCAGCTCAGAGAGAAGACATTCCCTCCCCATCTCTCTCTACAATGGGAGGGCCCTCATCCTGAGAGTGTGTCACCCCCACCCCCCCAGATCCTCCATGGGGAGGGGGGGGTAAACATACTCTCCCCCTGTACCTCTACCCCCACCCAAAATGAATCTGGACCTTACCCATCTCAGAAAGGTCACCCTGTCTATCCCTGGAGACTCCGGCCGGTCCCACCTTTCCTCATAAGACCATAAGAGATAGGAGCAGAAATTAGGCCAGTCGGCCCATCGAGTCTGCTCCACCATCCAATCATGGCTGATAAGTTCTTCAGCCCCATTCTCCCGCTTTCTCCCCGTAACCCTTGATAATCAAGAACCTATCTATCTCAGTCTTAAATGTACTCAATGACCTGGCCTCCACAGCCTTCTGTGGCAGTGAATTCCATAGATTCACCACTCTCTTGCTGAAGAAGTTTCTCCTTATCTCCGTTCTAAAAGGTCTTCCCTTTATTCTAAGACTGTGCCTTCGGGTCCTAGTCTCAATTCCCAGGAACCAGCCGAGGGAACCCCCCTCTGAGCTGCCTCCAGTGCGAGTCCGGCCCTCTGCGAATGAGGAAATGGCAACACCACACAAAACCACTTCAGACATGGTCTCACTGATGGCCTGGCCAGTTGCACTGAAGCCCGACCCCTCCTAGTTTATCCTGCAACGACTGCCCAACCTGGCTCTCCCCTTCCCGATCACTCACTGTGCCTGAAGACTAACCCAGGACACCCAGATCCCTCTGCCCCACGGTCGCTGGGATTTTGATGGGGATGCTGTCAGGGAATGGGAGGGTTGGGGAGCAGCTCGATCACACAGTTCAACACACAATCAATGTCTCTGCCCTCTCTTTCCCTGTTCGCCTCAGATATTGTGAACACTCCAAAACCCGACGAAAAAGCCATTATGACCTATGTTTCTTGCTTCTATCATGCCTTCGCTGGAGCTGAGCAGGTACAGCAATCCGACAAAATATATCAGCTTTTTTTTAATTCATCTCAACTGGAGGGGGGGGGAGTACTTATTGGCCTCAGGACCCTGGGGATGAACTCCCACCCTGCTCTTCTTCCAACAGAGGCTGAGGGATATTTTACATAGCTCCAACCCCGAGATATCAGACCAGGTCTCAGAGCAGCGCTCCCTCAGCACTGACCCTCCGACAGTGCCCGCTCCCTCAGCACTGACCCTCCGACAGTATGGCGCTCCCTCAGCACTG